TTAAATATAATGGCTGAAAAACTGAGAAGTCAATAGCTTGTCTTTCTGATGGTGCAGTGTCTGACCGTAGCAGAGTTAGCTGTCTCTGGAGTAGCAGGGATCTGGGAGATCTCACAGTTGGTTTTAAGGTAAGCCCTAATATTTTTTGCTTGAGTCTCACATTGGTCTAATATGAAGAATACTTAAATATTTTCTCCATAATGTTTTTCTAGTAATAGAATTTACTTTTCAAAAAAACTGAACACCTCCTACTTGCCTTTTGCATTCAGCTGAGCAATGCTCCGGTGTGCAATCCTGTCGTAATGGGATGACTGACTAGCTGGGAAGTAACCGCAAAATCCATCACTTCCTTGAGTCAACAGAACCATTGGCAGGTGTGGAGATACTGAAACAATGACAGGTATTTTTAACTGTTCTCAAAACTCACTTGTATACACGCACAGTAGGACCCTGCTAATCCCCACACCCCATAATTAGAATGGTTCTTCACTACTCAGTGTAGATTTAAGAGTAGAGGTCTAGTATTACTAAGACTTCATTATGCTTTCAAAACACACAATAGAACATACTAGTGTATATATTATGAAATATCATGAATAATTACAACTAATATAGAATTGTTAAATACATTTTAGGATGCCCTCTCCTTGCTATTTCTTATAGACCGCTTACTAATGTACAATATTCAGCCATTCACAATGGGTCTCCTGGTCACTCCCTTGCAAGTGTCCGTCAGCCAACTTCTTGTCTGTCGCTGGGGAAGCTCTGCCCATTCTGGAATCAAAGGTAGGGCAATGGAAATTATTGTTTTAGCATACAATCTGACTCTTTAAAACCTGTCATACCTGTCTTTCCTAGGCCTTCTGCCTCTGTCACCAGATCACTGATGTGAATTAGTGAGGTTTAACTGTATTGTGGTTTGAGATCCTTTAGTACAGAGGTACCATGTAAATGCAAAGTATTTATTTATTTATTATATGTAATTAACAGAGTTGGTCAGGAAACTATTTTTTATAGACAATACTGAATTTCATTTAAAAAAAAATTCTTTTTCATTGGGAAAAGCAAAATTTTTTTCCATGAAAGCAGATACTTTTAGCAAAACATTTCATTTTGTCAAAAAACAGCTTTGACAGTCCCAGTAGTGACTATTAAGGTAGCTCTCTAAAATCTAAGAATAGCAGCAGCTGATTGTTAAGGAAGAGACAGCACAGCTTGTTTTAAGGTACCTGAGTGATGAAGGTACTTTATTTATTTATTTATTTTAAAACACCTAAATTTGAAAGCTGTTCTTGGTACCAGTAACAATCAAACTGACGTTCCATGTGTTAGGTCACAGACTGACACTGGGTTGCAAATCTGAGATCTCTAATGGGAACTTGGGAGACAGCTGGTGGCATATGTCTCAGTTGCTGGAAAAAGCCTTACAAGCAAGAGGTAAAAGTGACCCCTAGCTGTGTTTGACACTGGAGGTCTGAGTCCTGTTTGTTATACAGTGTTTATTAAGTAGATTCAGTCTTATATATGATATACAGATTCAAAAGAAAAAAAGGATTCCACATACTTATGAAATCAGTGCATTTAGCAAGTAATACCATGGAAATAACAGCTTGATTAACAGCTCATTGGTCTTTGTTAAGTGAGGGGGACAGGGAGTTGGCCTGTGCTAATCATTCCACAAACAGAACAGAATTAAGTTGCATCACATATAATAGACACACATTCTAAGAATTAAAATATTAAGCCACACTTACTGGAAAAATCCACAGTATATAACACAAATTTTTATAGAGCTTATTGAGGAGGAAGTGCTCATCTGCTTAAAAGAGCCACATTAAGTTGCATAGGTGCCTATCTGCAAAAATATCATTTAGAAATTAATCAATTGATTAAGCAATAAAGTGTCACCTTAGAAGCTGGATTCTCTTTCCATGGTGGTTTAAGTGCCATATGCTCAGTATCTGAGCGCGCCCCCCTCCCGCCCCAATGTACTAACTTTCTAAACAAGCTGCCTCCTACTCCATTTAGGAGCTCCGGTGTCTCTAGAGAGAATACTCTCCTAGCATTTTTATTTGAAATTAACATCTTAGATGATTTAATCATGAATCAGTAAAAATGTGTTCAATTGTGCTAAAGGAAAGAGGGGTTTTCCCCTTCTCCCTGGCCTCCACTAGGCTTGAGCATTGTTCTAGACTCAACTGGACCCCTAAAGTCAGCTAGGTAGCGTTCATCTTCATGCCTGGGATGTCAGGGAGGAAAGGCAGTGAAATAGTACCATCATATGGTTCTATTTCTGTGTGGGGTCCTGGCTGTTTACGGTCACCTCACCCTCTCAGATCAGCTCTCAAATTTTAAGCTACAGCTATTTTTTAAATTGATCACTTAAAAGTGTGTGAGGCTGTGCAAACGCTGAAATCTCTCGCAGCACATCCCAGTTTTGTGTTTTTTAAGGTGGTTGAGTATGTGTCAGTGTCTCTGTGGCTTTGCTAAGCAGATGAACTGGGTGAGGTGCATCTTCCTCTTCAACAGCAGGTCTTGCAGAACACACAGGGGCTGGGAGTTCTGTACATGTAAACAGTACACTTTCACTGAGTCCAAAATTAGGAGCAAAAATACAAAGGTTCACATTGGTCTTAGGTAGATACAGGCGAAGAACTGAGCTGTACAGCTCTGAAACAACCAAACAAAAGTTTCTAAAGCACCACTAAATTATATAAAAATCAGACCATGGACGGATTGTAGTTGGTATTCTGGTGAAATACTATGCTACCTTGTAAAAAGTTTTACAAAAAATTACAAATCAAAAGTATATTAACCCTCTGAGTTCAAAGCAGCATTTTGTAAATGACTGGTACTAAATCCTATGGCCACCTGTGGGAAGAAGGTGGCCCTTTGGAGTGGGGAGGTACAGGTCACGTCTGCTGGGAATCCTGTGAACACTTCCCTTGCTGAAACACTGTAATTGGGAACTGAACATTCCCTGTGTACAAGTGGTGGTGGTAGTGGTGATGTTTAAGACGAGAGGTTTATCTTCTCCATCACTGGTTTTCCAGACCATCTGCTAACCCAGTGCTCCCCTTTTGTCTCTCACAAAGCCTGGAAAGCCAGGGTATTTTGCTCCTGCTCGGTCCTTCTGACTGAGAATTGTAAATTGAGATTCTTAACACTTTAATATCTAGTGAAAACTTACGAAGATGGCTGTGAAACAGCCTTTGAGTAGAGAAGGACCACTATTGAGTAAGGATCAGTTAGAGCACTGAGATGTTCTCTGGAGATAGCTCCAAAGAAACTAAAGATGCAGTTTACATAAAACTTTCCCTGACACCAATATGTAGTGGATCCCATTTGTTTCACAACTTGTCACAGGTACTACTGTCATCAGGGCTTCAGAAATCTTTGTGCCATCCAGCTGCAGGTTACGAACATTAGTTGATGTTACAGAGTAGGCTGTCAATTCTTCTTCCTATGCAATCATAAGTCTCAACTGTGTTCTACCAGTGGTTTAAATATGAAGAGCTACTAAACATGAAGTTCTAGGGTGATCTGGTTAAAACAGCTAGACGTTGCATAAATACAATTTTAAACAAACTGTATCTGATATTGATCTGTTATAATAAGCCCCTGGACAATGTCTTTGTTGGTTAATTGGCTGGCAATTTATGGCTACATGTTCTTGATGGCCTCTTAAAAGGAGTGGAGGCAACAATTAAGTAATTTATATAGAGAATTCTGGGACAGCGATTGTCTCTGCCTCTCTTTAACATTAAGACTTTCACAAATGACTGTGGTTAACATTTTGTAAAAGGTTTGCTACTTCATGGTATTGTACACACAAAAATAAATATTTACATAAATTCAAAGTATGGGAGGATGCCGTGGACAAATCAAGCAGGCTCGTGAAGTGCTGGGGAAAGTGTGGACCTGAAATTTGGGCTTGTGGGTGGTCATTCTGTTCTCCGATACCTTGGCTCTGATACTGACCCACACTCCCTGGAGGTTGGTCAGATTTTGTCTATTGTCCATATAAGCTAAGAACCAAAATGTTAGAATGTTCCCAAAGAACCACCCTGTTGGCTCATGTTGAAATGAGGGGAATCAACTCTGATTTACAACAAAACCACCACCTTCTCCCTGTAAGGGCTGTCTGAGTGTAGAAAAGGGTCAGGAATTAAATCCTTTTTCTCCAGCAGCTGGGGAGAGTTTGGGCTTTGGGGAAGGTGGTCAATGCACTAGTTAATCCCTTTTAGGGCCAGGCTGGGCAGTCCTGTTCTAGAGAGCCAGAAGCCTGGTCTACGTTACAGCTGAGAAAAGGGATAGGGCCTTGTTTTTTAGCCAGCACAGTTTTCCCACTAGTATGAATGGAAACTAATTTGGTTAAAAAGGTTCTTGAAAAACCATTTGAGTCTCAGTCCCTGCTGGAGCCCAACCTGTGCTACCTGAAAGTGTAAAACCCATGTGCTAGTATGGTTATTTCTGCAGGATGGGGGATGGGGACAGGGACAATGTGGACCACCACTGCAGAGCAGAAACCTTCATCACTGAAGTGAGTTCTCAATACATTGGTCTAAATGGAGCTAACTTCAGAGAAGGAAACCACCTGCATTTAAAATGATCAAAATGATTTTAATAGTCTTTGTCTATCTGGTGCTGCTGCTTGTGGTCCTTGCCCTAGAAAGGAGGACAGGAGAAGAATTCTGCCAGCACTGACAAGGGAGAGGGTGAGAATTCTTCTCACAGATTCTTAGGCAGCAATTATCTGCTGCTTTTTATGGCTACAGACTATGTTGCATTGCTTGGCCCTGCTCAGCATCTTGATGCCCGAGCAAAGTCCCTGGTTTTAGCAGCACTGGTAGTAGGTATTGCACTGAGCAAAGGGAAGTGCATTGGTTTTGTTTTTTGGGAGAGTGGGAGTTGGGGAGAAACAGCAATGGTAATCAGGCCAATTTTTTCCCCACACTTTAGGAATTGTGAGCTTTTCCCAGGACTGTTACTGGGGGGCTGGGCCCTGGGGAGAATTTCCACCCTTTCTGCTGCTGAGGGTCTCCTAATTCTTTCCTTTTGAGTAGGAATGACCTGGTTGTTTCACTGAAGTTTAGTTTACTTTTCTCCCTAAAAGTCTGCACTAGTCTTTATTATTCACGTGTGTTTCTCTAAACAGTTCTCTTGCTGCTGCCCCAGCGCTGGTTTCATGTATACTTGTGGAGACAGCCTGGGATTCCTCATTGAGGAGAGGTCAGACATCATCCATTGTGACAGTGAGCTACTGTCCATCAGCAGTGCATGTCCTTCCTTCTCTTCTGAACAAAAAGGGAGCCAGCTTGGGTCAGTTGTCCATCTGCTGGCTTAGTTTTGACTCCTCAGTGTTATCTACTTGTCTGCTCCCCAGTCTTGGATGCACATCATAGTCATGCACATTATGGGGTGAACTGTTCAGAATCCTGGTGAGTCCTGGAAAAAGCCCACAATGAAGTGTGAGGTAGAAATGAAAGGTGAATGCATGACAGTGGTTCTCAGATATTTCCTGTTTTGCTCTGCACTGAGCTAAATGAGTGTGAGAGGTCCTTCCAGTTGGAGGTTTGCTGAGTCTCTGCAGGAGATATTGGACCCCATTGCTGCTGCTACAGGACTGCTTAGAGGTCTAACAAGACACTCTTTCCTCATTGTTCAGCTTCTGCCTAAGCTTGCTGGAGGCCGAGCAGCCTAGGAGTTCTAGGGGTAGATGGCAAACTTGCATCCTGTGCAAAGGGGTCTCTCCCAGGAGAAGCAGGTGTAGCTGCTCAGCCATTAGTAGTGTAGTGATATGGAATGTGTTATTTCACAGGAATAAATTCCTTCTGATCAGACGGACACAAAACTGGCAATCTGTACAAACTCAAAAGAATCCATTTTCAGAAAAATAAATTACTAAGGGGAGAGGAGGGTCCATTTCTCAATAAATATGCAATTCTGCTCACCTAAGACCTTGAAAGGTAATTATCTGGGGATGGGATTCTAACGTTGGGGTCCACAAAGGTTATTCTAAATACATCTGCAGCCCCAAGCCTCCCTAGGCTCCCTTCCACCCTAAAAAAATCCCACACCCATCCAAGCTGTAGGTTTGGCTTCTTCTGCTCAGCTAGGCGCACCTGTGGTGAGAGAGTCAAAAATGTATCCTTGTGCCCCAAGTCCCAGGTGCTCGGAGTGTGAAAGAAAACAGTTCTAGGATTCCACCTTTAAAAACTAAATGTACCAGCTATTGGGTGGGAGGACGATGGTTAGTCCTGAGCAGGATACCAGTGGGAGCCTGTTTCCAAAGGGTGTAAATTGTCTTCTGCCACAGGAGCTACACAGACACCAGGAGTCAGTTCTGCTGTAAAATGAGGTTTTCCAGTTCATCTGCAGACCGAAGCAGAAAAGCCGCTGACTCTCGGTAGCCGGCAATCAATTGCCGCACTGCACTGATCTCTGTGGGGCTGAGCTGGGCAGCTGGCATCCCCCTGCTGGTGCTGTTAGAAGGGGCTGTACTTGAGGCCCCACCTTTCATGCTGAGATCAGTAGGACCTGCAATTGAAAAGTAAGAGGGGGGTTCAGGAAAAGACACTGGCACAGTTGCTGCCCCAAAGTGGCACATAAAAGTCCAACAGCACCTGCTGTTTTGATTCACAGCCCCTTGTACAACACTCTACATACCTAATGTAAGATGCAGTCTTGAGCCCTACAGAACAGACTGTCAAGTTGTAGGCACCTTCCAACTGCTGCTCTGTCACAGCAGCACTGCCATGGCTCTGTTCCCCTCATTAGAGTGTGTGTCTATGTGTATTTTGTAAACATACTATATGAACAGTCAGACTAACCCTCTGCTCTGCTAGGAGTTAGATCAGGCACAAGTCAGACACATCTGTTTTAACACTATAATAAAACAGGCAAGTAGGGAGGGGTTTTGCACCTATAGTAAAAAAATATATTCACTGCAGTTTGTCACAGGCTAGAATCGCAATGAAGCACTTGGGAGCTTGGCTGAACTAGCACAAAATTTAAAGGGTCAATCAACTGAGAGCAAATATTGTACCTACAGTTGTTCCAACGGACTCCTCAGAGTACTGAAACCTAAGGAGTAGGGGAAACAATGTTCTCGGTTTCTGGTTCTTCCCTGCATTTGACAGCATGTGGCATGGAGTGGTTTCACTGTTTCTGTTGATGGTCAGTTGCGTAATTTTCATGCTCCTGGCATAGGTTTTGGAACTAGGAGTGCTCGGGGTGCTGCCACACCCCCACCTTGAAGTGGTTTCCATCAAATACAGGGTTTAGTTTGGTTCAATGGCTCTCAGCACCCCCACTATACAAATTGTTCCAGCACCCCTGGTTCTAGCAGGGGCTCCCAAGCATATTCTGCAAGAGGGTGTTTCCCAGTGCCAGCAGCACAAAGGTGGGACAGAAATGGGAGGAGAGGTAGCCTTGAGCATGTTCTCTCTGGCCCATCCAAAAACCTCTTCAACACATAACGTGAAGCACAATTCTGGCAGTGGGGAAGGGCGGTGGATACTGGAGAGCTGATGGAGGGAGGGCGGGAGGAGGCTGGATGTAATGAGAGAAGGAAATGGAAGAATCGACGCTAACTCTGTGATTGTGAGTCTGAGGGATGGAGGAGGAGGGTTAGGAGAAGTTAGGCTTTTCGCTGTGTTGGGACATGCAGGAAGAGAGAGCAGAGACGGGGAAGCTGGGAGTGTAGGCAGGGGCAGATTGAGAGCCATCAACACAATGGAAATAAGGGACATTCCGGGAGCAGGTGAGGTCACCCAGAAGGTAAGTGGCAGGGAGAAGGGAGAGTATGTGGGGGTAACAGGAAGAGGAAAGGGTCCCCAAAGAGGAAACACTAAAGCAGGAGTAGAACAAGCAGTGGACAGTCAGGGGAGCTCAAAGGAGCAGAGGCTTGAGGAGAAGTAGGCAGTCAGACAGCAGCGGTCATGGAGGAGTCTGGAAAGATGACCATTAGCACTGGGGAAGGGAGTGGGGTTAGCAACTTGAGGGGAGTTTTAGTGGAGAGGAGAAAGCAACAGGCAACTGAGAAGGGAGCTGCACTGGGAGCAGAAAGCTTGCTAAAGAGGAGGAAGGAAATGGGGTAAGAGGGAAGTGGGTAGGCCGGGGAAAAGGCCTGCTTCTGTGCAGAGTGATTGATAAGAGAGAGATGGAGCTGCAGCACAAACTCCGGGGCGGAGGGGATAGAATGGTGCGGACTTCATTCAAACAGGTGAAAAAAGGGACATGGATGGGGGAAGAGGGAAGGAATTATGAGAGGATCTGGCAGGAGCTCTCTTGGCTTTAAAGGAGTTGGCAAGAGCCTGGGCAGAGGTCTAAGTGGAGAGAAGCAGGATTTCAGCTTTCTGCTTCCTGCGCATGCCTGGAATAGGCAGGCCCTGGTTGGTCAATTTTGGGGTAAGGTGTAATGAGAACAGCTGTGTGGCTGGGCAGCACCTCAAGGAAAACTGCACAGTGGAAACTGCCACCTGTAGAGGAAGGCAGTGGAAGCTAAGGAATCCTGCTTCCCTCCTGCACTGGGCGTCCAGGAGTGCCTGTGCTAGTCTAGAAAGAAAGTGTAACATCCTCTACTCTAGCTGCAAGGATGAGGTCTCAGCAGCTGGAGACTAGGGTGGGATCTTTACTCAGGGTTAAGAGGCATTAGGAAGAGATGATAACAGTTAATCCCAGACAGGCATCTTTCAGGACTCCGGAAATCACATCCTTTCAAATCCTTACTCCAGGCAGCTAGGGAGGGGCGAGACCCCAGGAAAGGCACTGGGGCATGGAGCAAACAGGAGCGAGGGGCCCAATGGCAAAGATTGCTGAGGGGAATGTCTCAGGGAGGAAAGAAGTCTTGTGCTATTGGTTGCCTGCTAATGGAGATGGACAGGGTCACTCGCATATACAGTTCTCAAGGGGTTCTTAGAAGAACCCAGATAGATCCAGAAACAAAAGCTCTGTTCCTCTCTGCACACTACTCCTGGCCAGGCTCTCCAATCAGGGTTTCCAGGCATGCACCCGGGTGAGGCTGTGGAAGCAGGTCATTGCCTGACAGGTTTGGCTAGAGGGGCTCCAGCCACTACTGCTCAGGAGTGGCACAAGAACAATCCCAAGAGGCTACTGCCGAGATGCGTGAGACCTGACACAAGATCACCTGATTCCATGCTTTACAGAGGCTTCTGGTCAGGGTGTGTCTATGCCAGACAGGGCTGGCCCGCAGTGTGGTCCTGTGGTCAGGTGCTGCCCCAGCCTGGACTGATCATTTTGTTTACTGGATGTTTCACTGTCACCTAATTAAATCTAACTGATCAGGCTTGTTCTCTCCCTCTCTTCAGGTTCGTTCTTTCCCCACACCTTGCAACGCAGACCTCCCATCCAGCGCTCCCTTTCACTGCTGCTCTCTTTGCCTGGCCTCCTCCATGCTGACACTCCTGCCAGCAAGAGGGTTATTATTTATTATCTTGTAGATTGTGGCAGCGCCCACAGCATGCTCAGTGCTTTCCTAACTCACGGGAAACTGACACGACCCCTGGCCCAAAGAGCGTCCTATTAAAAGGCACATGAAGGGTGGGGGCAGGGTTGTCTCATACCAGCAAGGCAATCAGGGTGGTGACAGGTGCCCGCCTTGGTTAATTATTAATAGGTGGTACCTGTGGTGTGTTTTTTTTTTTTTTAAGTTAAACTAAATTCCCTTCCCCCACAGTTCAGCCCTTGTCTTTCTCCTGTGCTGCCGTCCAGCCTTAGGCAGCTAGTTTGCTATGGGAGTAAGGGGTCCTCGGGAGCAAGTTAGTGGTGGGGAGAGGGTGGCTCTGCAGACCAGAGGAAGGGGGCTGGGGTGAGCCACTTGCACTGGCAGTGCTTGGAAAGCAGGAGTAGCCTCAGCCTCCCCTCAGTCAGCCAGAGTTGGAGGCATGGCCTAGCAAAGCATCATCTTTCCAGCTGCAGAGCAGGGAGAGCAGTTAGGGACCACAAGCCCCCTGCTTGTATTCTATAGCACCCTCGTCTCAGGCATTCTTCAGACCCCCTTTGAATGGAGACAGAGGGATAGAGGAGACCCAATTCTGTGTCACTCTCAAGTGCTGTGCCTCCTCCCTTCTTACCGTTACTGTGGTTCCCTGTTTGCAGTGAAGTGGGTGGCTGCAGGCTGCCTCCAAGGGTCCCATAGCCACGGTAACTGTAGTTCAAGCTTCCGTTGATGTAGACCGGATCCTGGGAGTAAGACGAAGCTGGCAGTGAATAGGAGGAGTGCGTGATGGCTGTGGAATCTCTGGAGTGCTGCTTATCCAAGGCGATCGGCTCATCCTACAGCAAGGAAAGCAAACCGATTTATTCCAGTGAGGAGACTTTCCTGCCCTTCACTTCCAAGAAAAGAGGACTGTGCTACACTCGGATTGCCTGGAATGACCTCTTGGGCCAGCCCACACCAGCATCCTGGCATCCCAGCCAATCAGAGCATAGAAAGAGCAAGGGTGGCTTCAAACCTAGTTACATATACGTGACGCTCCCATGTGCCACAGCTTTCCCAGAAAATTGTGAGGAAGGTGTTTAAATATACACAGCCAAAGCATCCCTGACCCTCTCCCCCTGGGCAGAGCAGGCATGCCGAGCTGCTACTCTCTCCTTGGGTTAGGAATGAACTACTGCTCACACGTCCTAGTCAATTAAAGGAAGCATCCCTCACCCACCTCTTGCACAACAGTCCCTCCAGAAAGGAAATGTCCCTCTGCTGCTGGTTTGCTTGTCCCTGTCCTCACCTCTCTCTTCAGTCTGGGCTCTCTGAGCCTCCCCTGCGCATACTCACTACCATATCCATTGTTTCTTCCTGTTCTCCAGACTGTCTACCCCCGTCACATGTGCTCTGCCTACGATCTCCCTCTACAACAAACATGCACAGCCTGGTCTTTCCCTTTCTAGGCAAACTGTAAGCAGACCAAACTTGCACGGCTTGAAGCAGGTATTGTGCCCATCCTCAGTAAGCAAGATCTCTGCTGACCTGGTCTGTCAATTCTGGCTCATCTTCTGCCCCGACTGGGGACAGAGCAGATGAAATTGTGTCTAGCATGCAAAGGATTACAGGGATTGTACCTGGGATGTCTGATATATCTCCAGGCGCATTCTCTTGGCTGCTTTCCGTGTTTCACTCTCGCATGCAGCTGCAAGGATATTTTCTGCCATGGCTGAGGTCAGATGTGGTGGGGTGGGTCTGGTCTGTGGAGACATACAACCAGGTAGGTCATCTTTTGGGAAACATGGACACTGATGGAAACAATCATTTCATTTGTCTTGACCATTCAGAAGGTGCACTGTACATTTGCCAGGAGCATGGCAAGAGCACAGAATACTCTCAAGCTCTTAAAAGTTAATATTTAAAATCAAAATATTTAAGGCCTCAACTTTTTAACCCTCCAGTGCTTGCATCTGTTTCTCCATCCACCAGTGTCAGTGTCTCTCTGCCATGCACACCCTTCGGGTGGCAGAGAACATGTAGTGACATTTCAAAAAAATTAGCATTGGAAGCAGGGGCACAGACAGTATCCAGAATGGATTGTGATCTGGTCCCTCTCTTCCACACGTCTGGAAGGAGGACAAGTCTGCAGGCACGAGGGAGGCCTTTCGAGCAGGAGGAATGTGAGGAAGGGAGAGTGGTAGAGCAACAAGGGCATGGAAGGCAGGGGAAGCAGCTCACCATCTCCATGCCGTTCTTCTTCATACGGCGGCAGGATTTGAGGTAAGTGCGAATGCGTTTGCGAGCTCTCTCCTGGAACTCAGGGAACTGTCGGCTGCAGGACTCGATGATCGCCTGGATTTTCTCTTTGGGCTGCTTGGAGATGGGAACCATTCGGTCCAGATTCTCATCCACAAAAAGGCGCACAAACATCTGCAAAGAGAATGGAGAGTGGTTGGGGAGATGAGACACAGCAGAGGCTTGGGACTGCTGGACCCACTCTGCCCATGCCTGCTACTCTTACATTGAAGGCCTTTAATCGCTCTGGATCCATCCCCTCTGAGTCATTTATCTTATCGTTATCTTCGTGGTCGTCATGGTCGTCGTCATCTTCATCTGCTGTGGGTGCTCTGCCAACGGTCAGGTCCTCCGGACAGCCACTGACCTCGGTCTTGATGGAGTCATAACTGCCAGAACTGTATGGAGGGGACTGAGAGAGAACAGGGGGAGTCATGAGCACCCAGATCTCAACTCACCCTCCAGTCTCTGCCGATGGCCAGGGGCCTGATGTCAAACAGGAAAAGGAACGGGGGAAGCAGAAGCCCTTTGTCTTTGCCAGTTAGCTTTGGCAGCTCTGTCTGAAAGAAAGCTTTCTCCCTGACCACATAGCTGATCCTGCTATGAAGTCATATCCTTTATGACATCACAGTTTGCTGCCCTGGAAATGATGGAGCTGTCACAGATTCAGCATTCGGGTCATTGCACTGCAGGATCACACAAGAGGAGCAGATGGGCCAGGAGAGAAAATTAGCAAAAGAGAAACTCTGGCAAACTGTGATAAATAAGAGCATCAGAAGATGGAGGCAGCAAAGAGGCCAAGTCCCATGGAGCCACTCCCTCTTACATGGAGTTTGTTTAAAGGGTGTGTGGGGTCCTTCCATTACAATCCGTGATGAATTACACTGGGGCCAACAGTACAGGGATATGTCCTCTAGAAAAACCTGCGATTGGGTTGTGAGATCTCTCCTCTTGCTCCTGTCAGGGAGAGGAATGGCATACAGGAGCCCTGTGGCTAAAGTCAGGGATTAGGACTCTGCAGCCCTAGATTCAATTCTCACCCTGCTACAGATGTTGCCTAGGTGATTTTGGCCAGGTCACTTAGCCAGATTTTCCAAGGTACCGAGGTGCTTAAAGATGAAGATTGCACCACATCCCATTTTCAAAATGGCCGAAGGAGATTAGGCACCTCTCCCCCATTTACATTTTCAAAGGACTGAAAGAGCAGTGGCACCTGGCCGGCTTTTGGGCCTTTTGAAAATCCCGCAGAGCCACTGTCTGCATCTTTAAGCACCTCAATACTCTGTCAATCTGGTCCTTTGTGTCTCCAGCCTAGTTTCCCATCTGTAAAATGGGGATAATTGAGAGGCGCTCCTTATAGGCCCTTCATCACCGTAGTGCAGCTAGAGCAGGCCAAAGTCCGGAACACAAAACAGGAAAGATTCAAGCAATCTGTCCTAGCCCACAGCTCTGTCAAGATTGGTGGATGCTCTGGACTTGTTACTTCAGTCATGGGCAGAGGAGCTGTCGGGGACAAGGCTTACGCATGTGTGCACCAGGTGCCGTCTTCTGAAAGTTTTGTCACTGTTTTGCCATTTATAGAGACTGATGGTGTAACACACGTGTGCACACACAGAGCTTCACTGTGTTCACAGTAACACTCAGCCAGTTACTCCCGGGAGTGCGAACAGCCCCACTTGGGAACCTGTTCCTACAACAGCAGAGATTCACTTACTCCACCAGGCGGTGTGCACAATGTGCACTCTGCCACCCAAACTTAGTTTTAAGAAGCTGGTTTCTGTGAGAAGGGGGTTGCTGAGGCATTACAGGTGGCGGATCCCGGATTTATGGTTCTGCAACAAGATTGGGAAATCCACCATAGCAGAGACAGCATCTGCTGAGACCTCCTGGGAAGACGCTATACTCACGCTCGCTGTTGGCTTCGCATCTGTTATGGCGAGGGTGTGTTGGGAGAGGAGGCTGGGGGAATGACTTTCACAGGGAATGCCTAAGGGGACTTTCTTCCGTGAAACTGAACTGAAAGAGCTGGGGCTGACATGAAAGGGAGGGAGATGCTTCTGTCTCGATTGAGGAGTGTTAAAAGCCCATTACACAGTAATGTCTTTATAGGCAATGAGAAAATAAACCTGCTCAGCAGCAGGGTCTTTGTGGAGCTGGCTGGGGGCAGGGCTATGGCTGCATGCCATGGGCCCTGGGTTCCTGGTATAATACTTCCTCTCTCCTTACCTCTGCTAACCACACTGGCTCTAGCTGGGCCTTGTTTTTACCAACAGCAAGAGCCCCAAGCCTGGAGCAAGGCCAGACACAGCTGCTCTCTAGCAGTTCCTCAGAAGGAGCAGAGCACAGCTAGACAGTTTTCCCCTTCCCTCCCTAGAAGGGAATGCATTCAGCTCCCTGAGCAGACTCCACCCCTCCCAACCAGCCCCCAGGCTGAGCCCTGCTCTCTCAGCTCCATGGATAGGAGCAAAGTCCTCTGCTGCCCTCGGACATCTCGTGTGCAGTTCCCTCCATTTTACTATCAGGCTGTGGCAGGCTGTAAATGAGACCGTGCATTTTGCCCCTGCTTATGCGGTCTGTGCACCCCCCAAAGCCCCACAGTCTTGGCCAGACCAACCTCGGCTGTAGTCTTTGCTGTGTACTTCACCCGGCTCCGCAGCCCGTCAGCACAGCTGTCTGACTGGTAGGAAGGAGTGACATGGGCAGGCGGGAGCTTGTCACATAGGTTGATGGGCTGGTCCTCGGCCGAAGCAGTGAAATCCATGGGGGCAGCAGTTCCATTCCCGTTCATTTCTGGGAAGGTGCTGTCTCCTTGCGTGCTGCTGGAGGTGGAGGGGTTCAGGGTGGAGGAGCCGTTCCCACTGCAGCTCTCTGATGAGGAATCATCTGCAATGAGAGGGACACATTATCTCAAATCCCTGAGACCCCTTCCCTTAAAGCACCCCTCAGCCCTAGACCCCTTGGGCACCTGCAGACGAGCCAGGAGAGCAGCTTCTGTGCCCTCTCAAAGGGCAGAGGTGGCATCCTGCTCAGAACCTGCGTGGGCTCCGGCTGTTTTCCAGACAACCAGTGGGCTGAGAGAGAAATGAATTGTTTATGGCCCCTAGCTCTGCTGAACCTGGGTTCCCAGAATCCCATGTGCTCCATGTGCCTGGTTTGCACACCAGTCAGTGTGGGCACTGCCAGGAACAGATACTCATAAAACATAGGCCTACGCTCCAGGCCATTACACATAGGCATGATGACCCTGCTGCATGACGGATGGCAGCTTACGGGATCAGAACAGTCCTGTTCCTGGGAGGCAGCTTGACCGTGTCAAGTCCAGCCGTTTACAAAGCCCCTTGCCGCTGGGGGCTCTCCTGCTGAACAATCCCAGAAGTGAAAGAATAGCAGACATCTTCCCTTCCCTTCCCTCCCACACCCCCATGGGAAGGGTAGTCCTTTCCTTATTCACTCCACTGAAGTCAATGGGAGTTTTGCTTGCAGGGGACTGTGGAATTTCCATTTTACCAACGCGGTAGGAAAGGGGCCCTTCCTCTCCCTGTGCTCGCTCTCTGGTTTTAGGCTATTTGAGAAGTGATGTGCTCACCCATCTCATCCCTCCACCAAGCTTCCCAGGTACTGCCCACTGCAGAGAGATTTCAGAGTCAGTAATGACCCAAGAGGACAGACCTCACTGGGCCTTTTGGCAGAAATGCACATTAGCGCAGAATGGAAGAAGCTTTATGGGACCCAGGGGAGCCTGTCGCTAAAAACGCAGGCACCCATCCCATCCCAGGGACTTCTCGCATATGTCCTGTTGTAGCAATGGCTTCTGCAGACACAACTCCTACCTGTTCCTCTGCACGAACCACACAGATGTATGGACACAGACTGACTGACCCCCACCTCTCTCCTGGGTACCATCCCTCTTCTATCTGTCTCTATCGCTGTGGTATCGGAGCACCTGAATGCAGACTCCAGGTCTGTGCGTCGCAAAGAAACGCCATCCATTCGTCCTCCATGCACAATCCAACTCGCTTCCCACTGCAGCTCCCGCCCACTTCTCCCAGAGCTCCCTCCAATTCACAGTGGCAGCTCACTCCCTTTACCTTCTCTCCTCGGCTCGCTGGCACACACTGTCTTTCCCTGCACCTTCGTTATACAGACCAGCCAGCTTCCCATGGCACAGGCACAGACACCGACACCCTGTGCCTGTATAGTTCTCTCCCAGCTTCCCTGCACGCTTTCTTATGCATGTCTCTGCTCCCAGCCACAGTGCCTGCACATGCTTCCCAGTCTCCTCCCTATGCACACGCCTCCGCATATCGTGGACACAAGCTACTCCTGTATCGCATACCCCCTTCCTTTCATGGACATGGACTGTGTCTTACACTTACACACACACGCCTTCACTCCTCCGCCTCATTTACACACACATCTCCACAGCTCCCCACACCATCGGTATGTGGCATTAGTGCTGCTCTTGAAAACAGTTTGATCTTGCGCAGAAATAGCTTTCCTCTCCTGCGCACACCTCCTAGGCAAAGCAGCAGGAAGAGCCTGGCTCTAGAACGCCCAGGAGCCAGTCTCCTGGGTCAGATGTCACATTTTTAAACTCCGCTCTGTCTATTTCCCCTTCCCTTCCCCGCTGCAGTAAATCCTTGATTTCATTAGGTGCTGCTCGGAGAGGGACGGGAGCTGCTTCCTGTGTAATTGTGAGCTGTGCTTCAAACAAAGAAGCTTCACTGACTGACAAGCAGATGGCGGTCCCTGGCTTCCTGTTCCCTGTATCCTCGCTCATGCAGCAGGACAAGAGGGGTCAGACTGCAAGAGAACATATGGGATTCTAGCGCATGTGCAGTGAGTCCAAAGGTGTGTGTGAAAGGAGGGGGGAAGGAAGGTGTGCTAGCTGCTGCTATCAGTCTCCGTCCCGTCCCTCTCCTCCCCCCCGCCACCCCCTTGGCTCTACAGGGAAACTTTAATGAGTGAACTTTCCTGTGACCCCTGTGGAGGCTGCAGCAGCAAGGACTTTGTATCCCTTAGAATAAACAGACTCAAGTACAATTAGGCATCTGAATGAAGCGCAAGGCGCCAAGCCGGACTTGGACTCTCAGCAATGTATGGCTGGAAGGGACCTCGAGAAGTCATCTCATCCAGACCCCTGCACTGAGGCAGGACCAAGTAAACCTACACCACTGGCTTTCAACCTTTCCAGACTCCTGTACCCCTTTCCAGAGACTGATTTGTCTTGCGCAGCCCTCGCTTAAAAATGACTTGCTTACAAAATCAGACATAAAAATATAAAAGGGTCACAGTGCACTAGTATTGAAAAAGTGCTGACTTTCTCCCTGTTACCATATAATTATAAAATAAATCAACTGGAATATAAATGCTGTATTTACATGTCAGTGTATAGTATATAGAGCCATATAAACAAGTCATTGTCTGTATGAAATTTTAGTTTGTTCTGACTTCGCTGGTGCTTTTTCTGTAGCCTGTTGTAAAACTAGGCAAATATTTAGATGAGGTGATGTACCCCCTGGAAGACCCCTGCGTACCCCCGGGGCTGCATGTACCCTGGGTTGAGAACCACTGACCTAGACCATCCCTGACGTGTGTGTCCAGACTGCCCTTCTGCTGGTACCAGCTATGAAACCCTTTACTTACTTGGGCACCAACTTCTAAACTGTTCCCTTCCTTTTTCCTCCTCCTCCCAAAACTGCCTGGTTTGTACCAGCCACCAGACTCTCGCCCCTGCCCTTCCCGTCACACAGTTGTTCTGATCCACTTATTTGTCTGAGCGATGACCAGAGCTGACCTGATCCTCAGTGTGGTATTTAAGTTCCACTGTGTGGCTCCCTCCTGCATGGGCTGCAGTCCTAGGGTTGCTGTTACTGAAACGGGGGCACAATTGAGCTGGAATATGTGGAATGCCGGGCTGTGTCCAGACAGGACTGGGAGCTAATGGGTGGGATTTGGCTGAGGAATGTGTCCAAGGCAGGAGAAGCTGGTGCACCACTGGAGCACAGATACGGGTGGAAGAGTGTGCTTCCCCGGAGCATCCTCTACCCGTGTCTGTGCGCCCCTTGCCTGGGCATCTATGTATGCTCGTGTGTGCACTGTGCTTCAGTATGAGTTCTCTGTGGTCTGTTCATGCTGTGCATCTGCATGTGCTCAGTCCAATGGACTCCTTGCTAGTCAATGTTCATACTCCATGTAGGTATGCTTCCTGGGCCAGTGTGTTAAAGCTGCCGGCTGCACGCATAGCGTGCCCTGGGCCACTGTGTTAAAGCTGCCCGTCTGCACGCGTAGCGTGCCCTGGGCCAGTGTGTTAAAGCTGCCGGCTGCACACGTAGCGTGCCCTGGGCCAGTGTGTTAAAGCTGCCGGCTGCACGCGTAGCGTGCCCTGGGCCAGTGTGTTAAAGCTGCCTGTCTGCACCAATAGCGTGCCCTGGGCCAGTGTGTTAAAGCTGTTTGCACGAGTAGCATGCCCTGGGCCAGTGTGTTAAAGCTGTCCGTCTGCACCAATAGCGTGCCCTGGGCCAGTGTGTTAAAGCTGTCCGTCTGCACACATAGCGTGCCCTGGGCCAGTGTGTTAAAGCTGTCTGTCTGCACACATAGCGTGCCCTGGGCCAGTGTGTTAAAGCTGCCCGTCTGCACGCGTAGCGTGCCCTGGGCCAGTGTGTTAAAGCTGCCCGTCTGCACGCGTAGCGTGCCCTGGGCCAGTGTGTTAAAGCTGCCCGTCTGCACGTGTAGCGTGCCCTGGGCCAGTGTGTTAAAGCTGTCAGTCTGCACCAATAGCGTGCCCTGGGCTAGTGTGTTAAAGCTGTCCGTCTGCACGCATAGCATGCCCTGGGCCTGTGTGGATGTTGTGGGGGCAGAAGCCCCTTGTTTATTCAGCCACGGCCATGAGGCAGTAGCGCAGAAATCAGGCGGGTTGCTCTTGGGGAGCTGGGAAGGGCTGGGGATCTCTCCCCCCCTCTGCCTGGCTGACAGTTTGAGACCTGGCCCTTCCCCTGCTCTGCTTCTTCCCTGCTAGACAGGGCTCCCAGAGGGAGGCTGTGGCCTTATCCAGTGATGCCTCTCAGAAGGATTAAGAAGAATTATTCTGTGCGCAGAGGCACGAGCCGCACGACAGGCCCTGCTGTAAGCCTGGGCATCGCCACAGCAACAGAGCTGCTCCTCTCAGGGTGGCCAATCACAGACCTCCTTCTAGGCCAATGGGAGAAAATCTCAGCTGCCTTGGGACCTCTCCTCGCTGATCTTTTTCTCCCTAGCTTAGAGGCAGCCCCTCACCCCAGGCTGCAGCTGGAGCTGGAGTGTAGCACGCTTGCTGGCTGTGCGCAACCTACCTGCCCTCCTTCGTGCAGCGACCAGGCCTAGCTGAGAGCTCACGCTCTCTGCACCATGACCGCACAACTGGCCAAAAGCACAGACCCAACCGTTGCTACTTGCACTGGGGTGGAGAAGGCCTAGTTTCCAGGATCTCTGCTACCTACAAACCCCACAGCACTTAGGGTGGTAGTTAGCATTATTCTGGCCAAGGAATAATTTGAGAACGTGTTACAAAGGTGTCAAAACTCGTACTGAGGCAGATGCATTGCAGCCTTGCTCCTTGCGTGCAGGTATCCACGCCAGCCTCCATCCCAAGGCTGGAATTACCCCTGCTGATGGTCAACCTTCCATGAATGCCCAGTGTCCCCCCATGAGCCCACAATTCCTATCCATGTCAAAACCCACCAGAACCTCCACTGCCCAGCTCCTCAAACACCTATCCACCTCAGCATGGCATTCCCACTGCTGTCTAAGGATAAGGTCGAAGAGGCCATCTCTAGGTCAGCTGTCCACACCAAGTACCCTCCACCTTCCCCAGGGTCTTGCACTTGCTTTTGCACACCATTTCA